AAATACATTTTCACATCAAAGGCTCTTACACTTTTCCAGCTGCATAATTTTCAGCAATTTCACAAGAGCAATATTCATTTTGTTCCCCTAAATTCCTCATCATGGATAAACAAGCTATTAAAAGCCATTTCATTAAAATAGTAAAAAACATTATTTTTCTTGATGAACATGAGAAAATCTGATGAAGTGATGAACCAGTTTAGTCCTTTTAATGGAAACTAACTTGGCATGTATCACTGCCATGTTGCTTAGTTTCTTCTGTTCCCTATCCTAACATCGGACTCAGACTTCTTTTAAACTGAGTTTTACTGTGCGTATTTGCTGTGTGTTTGTTTATTCCACATTGGCTAGAGGGGAGGGTTGAGAATTCGCAAAAATTGTTTAACCCTGCTGCATTTTTGCGCCTGTCCCAAGTCAGGAACCCCTTGCCTTGTTAGTCTTGCATGTTTTTGTAATTTTGGTTCATTTATATGTTTCAGAGTTTTAAGTGACGTGTATTACGCTGAATTAGTATACATTATTGTTTAGGGCCATCTGAAGCCCAACTCCGGGTGCAGGATTTTCTCGCTGTGTTGAAGATTCATTAGTGGCCTTGGGCTGTTTTCTACTCTTTGGTTGGATTGTTGTCTCTTTGACACATTCTCTGTCTCCATTCTCAATTTTATTGGTAAACTTTTCTCAATTTTGAAGAAAGAGAGAAAAAAATCCCCTTTCTTTTCTGTTTATTCAGTGGCAAAGTGATGGAAAATTTCTTTCATGAAACAAGTTTTGTCTCCTTATCATTTTATCTTATTTGTGCTGACATTCATCCTACACTGTACACAGGTGACCACTGTCCAGGTCTTTAAACAATATTCCAATCATTGTGAAATCAAATTTTCTATAATTTTTAACATATTCTTATTTACACATTCCTACATTTTACAAATACCCTAACTCAAAAAGTGTGATTTCCCCAAATGTTTCAAGAAAAGTCAACATTGCATTAGACAATGCTTATGTAATCAGAATCTTACATTTCTACCAATATTCCTCTTTTTGTAGCTGGACGTAAGGATGTTTTTTATGGAGTGTTTTACCTATATGATATATGTTCTAGATAAGTCAACATTTCTGAAGTTACAGTATCCACAGTATCATGAACTAGTAATTCTAAAACTTAAACTTAACGATGATGATGACTATGATGATAAAGATGATGATGATAAGATGGCTATTTTTTACGTCCAGTGGCAAATTAAATGAATGTTCAGGACTTTAAACTTGATAAGGATGACAACGGATGGCTGTTTAACGTCCAGTGGCAAATTAAATGCATATTTAGGATTTTATAAACCTCAAAACCATAATTAACACTCATATTATATTGCTATTGTAAATTTTAGTTTATGAACCAATTTCCATCTTGAATAGAAGTAAGAGTTCACTAATTATTTTTTAATGAACTGATGTAAATATCGTAATAAAATCAGACATATTGCATTAAACTATACTGATACAAAGCTTATGCAGTAATCCCTCTAAATATTTATACGATTTGAACATTATTATCTATTAATAGAGCTATCTGCTGTCTTTCACCTGAAGAATTAACCTATAATTTACACATGAAAAATGTTGTTTTTCTCCCATTAATTAACCTTGCCTGCTAAGAAATCACCAGAATCCTGCTGACAATTTCTTGTTTTGATGACTGATGATGTTAACTTACAATTAGGTTGTCTCCATTGTAATGCAAGGGAACTGTAGTGATAAGAAAAATTTTGAACATTGTCTAATGTTTTCCCTATGCTATATACATATATGAGGGGGAGTAACTCTTGCTTCAAATTTATTTTTCAGATGATGGAGAAACTGTAATTCATTAAATTTTGAATATCAAAATAAAAACATGAAGGAATTCTTGAATGTTTTCATGTGGGATGCAAACGAGTTTTCATTAAAATCATAAACTTTCCAAATTTAGTTGCAATGGAACATTGTATAATAGCATTTAAAGGAGATAATTATCTTTTTTTTCAACTGGTTTATAGCATAAAGGGAGACAACACCATGTAATGTTAAAACAAATTACATGCATCGATGTAAATTTTCATAGCTGACATCTTCTGCTGTGTTTTTCAAGACATTGGATAGATCATGTAAATTGTGGGGTTCGTTTTAATATGAACTCATATTTTTCAGCATAATTTTATAATTTAGTTTTCTAACAAGAAATTTAAGAAATCTTTACAATTTAGGAATATTCAAAAATTTTTAAATATGATTTTAACTCTATTCAACATTTCATTTATTTTTATGTAATATGTAATAATCCAAAAAATAAATTGAAGGAAGAATGGGTGGATTAGTGATTAATGTCCAGTGGTTAATATTACATACATATCAGGACGACAGCGTGTTCATATGATATCAATATGAACCTTGCTTTGAAATTCACTGACATATTGAGCCAGCTTTAAAATGTGCTAGTTCACAAGGTAACAGTTTGTAGGATGTCATTCTACTATGACACAATGAGCCAGCTTTATCATGTGCTAGTTCACAAGGTAACAGTTTAGTGAGTTTGTATGAAGACATGTCATTCTACTATGACACAATGAGCCAGCTTTATCATGTGCTAGTTCACAAGGTAACTGTTTAGTGAGTTTGTATGAAGACATGTCATTCTACTATGACACAATGAGCCAGCTTTATCATGTGCTAGTTCACAAGGTAACTGTTTAGTGAGTTTGTATGAAGACATGTCATTCTACTATGACACAATGAGACAGCTTTATCATGTGCTAGTTCACAAGGTAACTGTTTAGTGAGTTTGTATGAAGACATGTCATTCTACTATGACACAATGAGCCAGCTTTATCATGTGCTAGTTAACAAGGTAACTGTTTAGTGAGTTTGTATGAAGACATGTCATTCTACTATGACACAATGAGCCAGCTTTATCATGTGCTAGTTCACAAGGTAACTGTTTAGTGAGTTTGTATGAAGACATGTCATTCTACTATGACACAATGAGCCAATTTATAATGTGCTAGTTCACAAGGTAACAGTTTGGAGGAAGACATGTCATCCTACTATGACACATTATTCTTATTCTCAATCTGATAATGTTATGCTCTTACTCCTACATGTTACTTGCTCAGCAGGGAACCAGCAAACACCAATTTTAAAGTCGTCCATGAATCAAACCCATTACCTCATCCACTGAAAGTCAGCATGCTGCCACGAAACAACCAAGGCATTTAAATCAATATTGAACTTAAAGCTTTGAAAAAGTAAGTACCAATCAGCTGACACTACTTTTAACATGCATGGTTATCATAAAGACATGCCACCAGAACTACTGGAATTAATACACATATCTAACAAAACTGAATGGGAAATATATCTTAATTACAGTGCTATCCTGCATAAAACAGTTGGAGGAGATAAATACAGATGACTACCTCTAATAAAATATCTATCAAGTTTTCATCAAATGTACTGGCAGATTTCCTCAGATTTCCTAGTTTATCTCATTTTTTCATCAAAATATAGAACTTTATCTGAATCAAGGCTATTTGAGTACATTTCATTCAAGTGTCAGATATTGGAAACTGTTCAAAGGGGAGTAACTCTAGCATTATCAGTAGTTGGATATTTTTCAGATACTTTCAAAGTTACTTTGTGGTTATCAAATAATATTCCTTCAAAGTTGTACAGATAATACACACATTAAATGCAGAGCCATTACAAGAAAAACTGAACAGACATGGAATCAATTTCAATGGATTATAAAGTAAAAGACCTCAGTTTATCTCATTATATTTTGTTTCAATTTCACTAACATTAAGCAAACAAGTCCTGATTGAAATTGGTTATTGAGATTATAATAACTATTTCTATCATTTTCATTCCAAAGTAGACGAATAAAATTATGTGAAACATTATAAATATGAAAATTCATCTGCTTTAATTTTTCTTCATCAGCTGAAGACTTTTTCTCTGTCAAAAGGAACCAAAACAAAGTTATTAGCAGATAAGCTTTCTAAACTTTTGTTGAGCAGCCGGTTGTACGAACGTGGCATTAGCCTAATGGGTCATTAAGTCTTCATTAAGCCTTTATGATGCATTAGGCTAATGAAGACTTAATGACTGATTAGACTAATGACACGTTCGTACAACCGGCTGCTGGTCATTTCAGTGCTCCTTAGGAATTAACAAAGTTCTGTTACTTAAACTCTAGTTCAACTACTTACATAAAAAACAAAACACACACACACACACACACACACAAATTGGTTTATGAGTAGCTTATGTTTCTCAACATTTCACCTTACTTGACATATTACCAAACCTCAGCAACTTAACCTAACAGAATACTACATATTTACATCTTACTGACAGTACTGCCACAAATGATTTAAAAAAAAAGGTTTTTCAGGTTTTACAGTACAAAAATCTGTTTCAGATAATATTTTTCAGGTTTTACAGTACAAATATCTGTTTCAGATAATATTTTTTAGGTTTTTCAGTACAAACGTCAGTTTCAAATAATATTTTTTAAGTTTAACAGTACAAATATCTGTTTCAGAAAACATTTTTTTCGGGTTTACATTACAAATAACTGTTTCGAATGGTACCCTCAAGATATGAGCCATTATCCTGTCCTTGTATTTATTTATAACTTGTGAAATTTATAGAAACAAATATCTTTGACTTTATTGCTGAACTAAAAAATTCAGTCCTCATGTTGTTAATGTTTACAGGTGATTAAATATTTCCTTCACAAGGATCAATAATAAATAATTCTTGTCTTTAGAAAGCCTCTATACATGATTTTCCAATTGATGCTTTCTCCCAAAAAAATTTGACTTCACAAAGCAAATATCTTTATGTCACACTGTGCTATGATGAGTATTCCCCCAAATGACCCCAGGTCAACCGGGGCAGTTAATTCATAAAATCGAAAATTGGAATCTTGTTTTTTTTCTAGAAAATAATAATTAAAAACTTACATTTGTGCTGAGTTGTGTTGTCAGCGTTGACACTTTTTCCTGTGCAGCCTCCAGCTCTCTGCGTAATTTACGAACCTACAAGTAGGAAATGTACTCCATCAAGTTCAAAACCACAGGCTAATTAACGATATCAACGATATTAACGTTATGTCATAACAACATTGGCAATCAATGCAACATCTCTATCTTCATTTTATTCAAATTATGTCATAATAAAACTACAAAATATTTCATAATTTCCACAATCCACGAGGGTACAATAACAAAATCCACAGTACATCTAAAAATCCAATTGCTTTTCAAAGTCCGCCAGTAAAGTTCAAAAAGAAAAATCAACTTAAAAAGTAATTTTCTGTTAAGTAGATCTTTAAGAAATTAAAGGAATTCTAATATGAATATTTTTAGCAGGCAATATTACCATGTAATTTCACTTATCTGCCGAAATGATAACATTGATTGAGAATCGTTAAAAATACTGCATCAGTAAAACAAGCTTGTATCCAGAGCATTTTTTTCCGTTTTTTTCCTGACAACTAAGCAGTGTTTATATGATTACACACTTGTTTAAACAATAACATTTTGAGGAGATTCATGTTTTTATTGATTATATTTGTTATCAATGATTAAAACACATTAAACATAATTCCGATAGCATATCTAAAGTGCATCTTAAAGAAGGCATTGACTTAACTTTGAACCTTGTGCAGTAATAACCTTTTATCTCTAACCTTTTAGTCATTTTTAAAATAAAAATTATGATAAATATACCTGTATTTCAAATATAACATGTTTAATGTAACCCTGAATTTTGACTTCATATTCTGTAGTTCTTGCAGTACTATTGACCGTGAATTTGGAATTTACAAAGCTTGCTGTTTAAAATCAGTGTTTATTTATCTGGCTGTCCTATGTCCAGAACCTAGTTATGGTGTTTGATGTCCAATCTTTATTGTTTCGAAGGTTTAGTGTTGATGGCAGGTAATAATAATAATTGGATTTACATATTACACTTATTTATACATGTCTACATCATTTTGTGTCACAGTGAGTCAGGTGAGGCAATCCTCCCTTGTCTATCTATTGATTAGATTATACTCGGAGTCGAGTTATAATTTAGTGGACCCTTCCTTAGCCGGTACACTAGTATATGGTATTAACACCTGTATTTAGCCTTTTAGTTTTTTGTATTATTTTTTGTCATTGGGTTGCTGTCTGACTGACATTGTACCCCACATCTTCTTTTACTCATTCTGCACCTAACTTGCAATTTTTGCAAAATGAATCCCCTCACAAATTGCTGATAGGGGGGAGATTATCCATAGCTGTCAATTAGGTGACAACAAAATCACTTTGTATGCCAGAAATGTTTTGTCTACAAAAGACTCAAAAAATTAAGTTAAAAGGCCAAATAAAGTATGAAGTTGAAGAGCATTGAGAAGCCAAAATTCCAAAACATTTTGCCAAATCTTTTTGGGTAGCTGTCTCTTTGTTCTATACCCAAAAACATACTTTTACAGTTACAGTTTTTAGCTTGCAAGAGAGCTGTCTACATTTCCCATTATATCAATGTTCTATTTCTACATATTTATTACTGTATTTTCTATGTCATTTGGTCAGACGGAGAGTTCTCTCATTGGCAATCATATCACAACTTCTTATTTCTGTATTTTCTTCATAAAAATATAACAAATATATCATTTTTCTGGCAAACAGACAAAAAAAACAGCAGGATAGCCTAAATACTGAATGGGTTATATGGAACAAATGGTATGTCCATTATAAAGATTGAGAACTTTGTAAATTGTTTGTTCTGATAAAAAATCTAACAACTATGTTCTAATGAGATATTGAAATAAATAATACAGTAATAATTGAGTAGTGATTTTAATCACTTATCACCACTGTTTGATTGATAAGTCAAAGTTCTGAAGTATAAGAGAAGCAATTTGATGTGAAAAGGAAGACAACTTTAATTCCTTTACAAATGTGTTAATGTATCCTATATCAAAGTTCTGATGTGTGGGCTGCTATCAATAAGAGAAGCATTGAATGTGAAAAGGGAGACAACTCTTATTCCTTTACAAATGTTTTAATGTATCATGTCTCAAAGTTCTGAAGTGTGGGTATCTATCAATAAGAGAAGTATTTAATGTGAAAAGGGAGACAAGTCAAGTTTATTCACTTCAACTCCTGTACAAATGTTTTATGCACCTTAGTTCTGAAGTGTGTATACATGATAATGAAAGCAAATCCATTTGAAAATGGACACATTCTAATTTGAAAAGGGAGGTAAGTCAAATGTATCCACCTTTTATTGGTTCATAAAATTGAGAATGGAAATGAGGAATGTGTCAAAGAGACAACAACCTGACTGAAGAGCAGAGAACAGCCGAAGGCCACCAATGGGTCTTCATCACAGCGAGAAAATCCTGCACCCGGAGGCTGGCTTCAGCTGACCCCTGAACAAAAATGTGAACTAGTTCAATGAAAATGGACATCACACTAAACTCCAAAACATATAAATGAACTAAAATTAAAAAACATACAAGACTAACAAAGGCCAGAGGCTCCAGACTTGGGACAGGCATAAAAATGCGGCAGGGTTAAACATGTTTTGTGAGACCTCAACCCTATACCTCTAGCCAATGTAGAATAAACAAACACACAGCAATACGCACAGTAAAACTCAGTTTAAAAGAAGTCTGAATCCGATTTCAGAATAGGTAACAAAAGAAACTAAGCAAAATGACAATGATACATAAATAAACAATGACTACTAGCAGTTACTGACATGCCAGCTCCAGACCTCAACTAAACTGATTGAAAGATTATGTCTTCATCATATGAAAATCAAGTACAATCCCTCCCGTTAGGGGCTCAGTATCATACCATCATAAAATATATGAGAAGAACATAACCCGTATCATGCCAATAACTGGTTTTAGAATAAATGTGTTTATTTCCGATGCAAAGACCCTATGAGTGAATCAATATTAATACCAAAATATGCCATCTTTAATGACCTGACAACAGTATCATAACTATATCCCTTCTGAATAAGTCTGTTTAAAGATTTGGTTAGCTTTTGAGGTGAATGTCGACATTTTTGTGCTTTGTATAGAATATTACCATAAAAGATTGGATGTGAAATACCTGAATGTATAAGATGTCTGCATGTTGATTTATATTTACAAATGATGTCCTTGTACCAATGATACATGTTTTAAAGATCAAAGATTAGAGGTGATGTTACTAAACATTATAAGGGAGAAAACTAAATGTGACATGGTGATAAGGTAAATTATTGAAGTGTGACTATGGTTAAATATATCCACCTTAATCACTTTTCCATTGTTTTATCATGGCATTACTGCATTTACAAATAAGTATGTCCATTGTTTTATAGATGCATGACAGGCAAGCAACTCAATGTAAAAAGGGAGGTAAATCAAGTATATCCTTGAGGATATCCAGTAATTTATTGTATCCATTTTGAAAAGACAAGTATAAGAGCTAATGAAGTTTATAATTCTCTTTCGAATGTTATAAATTTAAATTTATTGAAATCATGAAAGTGACAAGGTAAAAAAGAATTGTTTAGACTTTTTGCTGTTACAAAATGTTTAGATTGTAGAAAAGTAACTTGTACATTTTTTCATCAAACTTTTAAACCATCTGATGTAATATAATCAAAATAAATTCTGGCATATTTTTTTTTAAATGTACAACACAAGATTTAGTGTAAAAAATAGTCAAATTGAGTCATTTATACATAATACAAGATGCAGATAGAATCTTTGATGTAAGTGTGTAAAGAAAGATAACTCTTGCATACCTCAGCATTCTGTTTCTCTTCAGCCTACAAAAAATACATATATTAATCAATTCCTTAATTCTCACATTGAAAAATAATCACTTCAGATCAGTTCGTTTTTGTACTTTACTTCTCACAGTAAAAATGATGAAAATAGTCAATTCAGTCTTGGTATTAATATTGAGAGTAGTTTGCATTGGTACTTTCAGAAGTATTCAGGCCAAAACCTTTCATTCTCTTAGAAATCTGTAGAAAATAAGCAACTCTTATGAGCTGTTTTCTAGTTGAAAACAAGCATGTTTAACATGAAAATCTACGATTAGCATATCTAACCCATGTTGTAAAACGTAGCTTGTCCTTGTTTGTATGTCTATTCTTTTACAGGATTTGGAGGTTAGTGAGGTCTATTTATATACGTTCAATATTTTTGTTGATTTCTGTTATGTGTGTAAATAGGAAGGGAAATTTGTTTTTTTCATAATGTGAAACTTCAGCTTGAATTTGCTTTTATTTGTAATCTACATTTGTTTTTTTGTTTTTTTTGGTGGGATTTTTTGTTGGCATACTTTAAAGTATTGTCTCTTCAAAGTTCATTATTTAGCCATTAATATCTTATTATAATAGAAAAGAATGAATATGGTGTATTAATTCACAACACAAAATCCATATATTTGACAAGACCAGAAGCAAAGCAACTGTGCTTTTATTGCTGTTCTTTCATCATAAGTTCATAGTGATACTGCTATAATGAAGACTTACTGTCGAGTAGTGTGAGGAAGCGCTGGACACCAGAGATAGATTGGATCCATGGACTGAAATGATAAAGTTACAGTAATAAACAACAGACAAACAAGTATACATGCATTAGTGTATATATAATGTCAAGGGTATCCAAAAACACTACAGTGGATTCATTAGGGGCTAACCACTAATTCAAATGTTCAATTACAAAGTACGAATTATCTTTTGGCTTCTATGCAAACTTTGGCAATATCACGAAATCAAGTATCTACGAAAATATGATTTTGCCTTAATTCACAAAAATTTGTACCCCTGAAAAAAACCCCGAATCCACAGTACTAGTATATGGTTATCTTTAAAACCATTTAAAAAATAGCAGTCTTGAAATGTTTTACTCCAATTCAGTGTTCCCAACTGGCTCAATATTTCTACCCCTTTCTGCCAAATTGCAGGTATTTCACACCTTTTAATTAAGGAACTTTAAACTGGATTTTCTTAAATTCTGTAAGTAGTAAATCTTTAAAATGAAAATCTTTTATGATGAGTAAATTTCAGAATAAAGAGCAGTGCGTTATTTTGATCTATAGAACCAGTGTTTTCTAAATTATTTCCTAAAAGATTTTTGCTATTTCCTCAGTTTTTTTTTCAAATTTTATGCATCTTTTTTATCATATTCAAAATGAAAATTATAAATTCTGAACAATGGTAAAATAGTTTTCTTATACAAATGTACTTTTTTTAATCCATTTAACGTTAAAGTTTATTTGTAAAATTCAATTTAACTCTATACATTGAGCAAATCTGAAATTTTGTGAAAATGATTTTCTATTCTTTAATATTTTCTGTCTCCTATGTTAAAATATGAATTGACAAAACAACATATAGTCCACAACAGAATCAGTGTTTTCCCTGTTAAAAAAAAGACACAGAACAAGAGAAAAGATTGGTGGCCCTTAAAATTCAAATAAATGAAAATTATTTTTACAAAGAAATTCTACATGTAAAACAATTTTGATGTTAAAAGTATTAATTGATGGTTTTTGAAAAGGCTATTTTAAGTCAAATTATTCATAAATCTTTTAATATACTTTACATGCATTCTATACACTTTTGTACTTATATTTGCATGATATTCAATTTGCTTTATCTTGGAAATTATAAACGAGACTTATATAAATTATTTCAGGAAAACACTGACCGAGAAATCTGACAACGACTTACCCGAGGTGTAGTCATAGTCAGAAAAAGAATAATCCAAAGTCGCTGATTTTGTTAGACCTGTTTAATAAAAATAGCTTGAAGTGATCCAGTTTTTAATCTTAAAGTAGGTTACAGTGACCTTAAAATGTGATCTACAAATCTACTTCTACTTCATGCAAATGTTCTATGGTTAAAAATATAAAATTTTATATTATTCCATACATTTCATCATTTTAAAAAATTGAAATGAAACTGGTTGATAAATTACTAATCAATCACCTTAATTATTTAATTAGTAAGTTTAAGACAGTAATGTTGTTAAAACTTTCCTGAAAGACATTTCCTCAAGTCTGAATTTGACTCTAAAATTATAATTTGATAAGATTACTGTTTGGCTGCAGTGAAGAGCAACAGCTAGAGGGACATATTCCTTATTAATTCTTCCCAAATCATTTCTGAGTAAAAAGTATATTTCCAACCTTGCTCTCATTGCAAGAAAACAATCGTTACATTCTAAAGAGGGAAATAACTTGTAACATAATAATATTTTTAGAGTCAAACTCTTACATATTTTTTTTACAGTATCTAATTCACTCCCTAACAGAACATTTTTTTCTCAAAAAAAGTTTTAATTTCAGATAATACAACTATTAATATACAAATTAACAGGACTAAAAGTTTCATACCTGCCAACTTTTCAAAATCTCCATGGGGGATTTTAAGCACAAAGGACCTAATGCTCCTCTTATATTGTCATAAGTGTCCTTAATCTACTTCTATATTGTTTGGATGAGTATGTATGTGCTTAAATACCGTATTAACTCATTTGAAGTCCTGTTTTTAGGTGTTCAGTTTGTATAATAAAGAATTTCATAATTGAGGTCAACACCTCTCATGGGGGATATCCCCCATAATTCAGGATAGTTGGCAGGTCTGAAGTTTCTTCAAAAGATTGATGAAAATAATTTTTATTTCAAATTCAAAATGGTACTTTGCATTATATGCCAATCAACTTTAAATTGTTTCATTATCTGTGATTTCTTGAGAGATTGTTTCATTGGTTCATTAATCTGAGATTTCTTCAAGATTATTTCATTGGTTCATTAGCTGTGACTTCTTAGAGATTTTTTTGTATATATAAATTTTATAATTTATTCCCCAACTTATACTGTATAAAAGTGTCCTTTTAGATTTTAAATTTATTAGTATAAATAAATTTTCAAATTGTGTGACACGTTTCAATACACATACACAGCTGTATGTGGTGTTCCATGATTGGAAGGATATCCATGCAATAGAAGAAGAAGTTTCATTGGTTCATTAGCTGTGACTTCTTAGAGATTGTTTCATTGGTTAAATAAAAGATTCTATAAATGGAAAGCAATTTGTTAAATTGGTTAAATAAAGAATCTATGACTTGTCACAAATGAAACATTATAAAATGTAATAAAGGCAGTTGATTATCAGTACTCTAAGGTCGATCATATTCCCAAATTGGTAACATGACACAATGACAAATTGCTGTGATCCACTGCACAGATCTTAACCCTGTTTAACTATTACATAAGACCCTTTTTGATTACTTAAGATTTCCTTCCATCATAACATGTAAACTTGGTTCATCAATTTTTCATGCAAGATAGAATGTCACTTTTTGATTAAACTTTATTGATTGTGGGGATCTCCGTCTTAGAAAACTTGACATACTTTATAGTAATATTTGATTGAGTCATATAAACAAATAAACCTTATAAAATATAAATGGATTAAAGATGTGATATCATTTCAAAGTTTCCAACATTTTTACAGTTATTCAAACTGTAACTGAATATTAAGGGCAGAGGAAAATTATCTTTTTAAGTCTTAAACATTAAGGGGCATTAGCTACGAGATATATAAAAAAAAATTATATGAACTTTTTTTATTCAATCATGAATGAAAGTGAAATACTGAAATTATAGTTTGCTTTTAGTGGCCAATTTGGTTCAAATTTGTCAAAAATAAGCTAAGAAACATTGCTGATGAATTATTTCACTTGCAAGTGAATAATTCAACCTCATTGTATTCATATTCAAGTGACCTTTAAATTAACCCCTTAGCTTGAGATGGGTTACGCATGTATTCAGCTATTAAAATGAATAAAACCTCAACATTGAAAGTGAAACATGGATGAACCATTTGGTTGACTGATTCAATTCACAAAAAAAAAATCATTCTTACACAGGTAAAAATGATGATAAACATGTTTTTTAAACGTACAATATGAAATCAAACAGACCTAGGAAAATAAAATTGCATGTGGTGGCTATCTATTTATATTTATATTCATGTTTATATCGGATTATATGACTGTCGGAATTCTTCGGAGGTCATCTCTGAGGTCATCTCCATGGTTTAATAATTAGATGGCGTCTAGACAAAAATAAAAAACGAAATGCTGGTACATATTATCTAGTCCATGCATTGATAATTGTTTATTTTAGACTTTTGATTATTTTGATGTAAGCTTTAATATGTTATAAATCAAATATGAGAATTTGAGTCAAATCAGTGTACATGAATTTGACAGCTAAATACCCCTTTAAATGGAATAGTTTTCAAGTCTTAGAAATAAGGTTTTTGGTCACATAACATATTATTTTAAAGGCAGATTTGTGCAATAAGAGTAAATGCAAATAGAGTTAAGCATGCAGATAAACATAAGTTAATCATAAGTAAATTACTGGTAAAGTACAAACAATATACACATGAATTTCTCTGAAAAATATCAGTTCAAAATGTCAACCAGTTCAAATTAGAGTTATCTCCCCTATACTATAACAGAACATTACACAATATGTAAATATTCTTAAAAATATCAAATATAATATTTTCTGCATATTGTAAAGTGACAACAAAAAACAAAAAAAAATAGAGATTTTGAGTTCTTTCCCTGACAAGTAAAATGTCAAAATAATTTGACAACAATCTTCTTGCATTTTGTGGAGTTATCTTAAATCCCTTAAGGAAAATATCATTATTTCATCTAATTAAATTCAAATGTAAACTTGTAGGCAGTAAATAAATCACATTTGTCAGCATGGTGTAATTAAATCTATAATAATTAGTGCAGAATCAATTTAAACAGAATCAAATGTACTGATATTACACATATTTTCTTGCCAAAGTAAGATGTAATTTGATTTTATCAAGAGCTATTTAAAAAATTACCAGCTAATGAAATTATATTATAGTTCCAAGAGTTTCAAAGTTTTTTACTTGAAATTTCAATTTCAACAGCTATCAATTTTTGAAATTCTCAAATAAGTTTATACAATCATTGTGAAAATTGGTATTTTGACTTGTTTTACGATCCCAATATCGGGATTCGGGTTGAGGCATGAAAATCGGGATGATACCGCCAAAATCGGGATAGTTGGCAGGTCTGTGACAATGTACTGACTTAAAGATGTTTGCTCCTCTGTTTCAAAATAACAAGCTTTTTAAAAGACTGTTATAAATTGATAGAATATAAATAAGGGAACTTAAAAATTAAAAAACAATGATAGGTCCGTGTCCTTGTTTTTGAGATATAATCAACTGAAAATTTGGCTGGAAATGATTCTATCTAGATTTTTCATACATTTAACATAGGACAATTTTTCTTTCAAAAACAATGAAAAATAACAAGGATTTCATAAGATTTTCAAAAATGGAGTTTTAAACTATATGTAATAAAATTATGAAAAGAAAAGTAGGGGTTAGCGGTCAAAATTTCAAAAATGCTAGACAACTGCTGATTTATTACAGAATAATAAGCTTGTGATCTACAAAAAGGAACAAACACCAAAAAAGTTTGTTTGATACTTGATATTCAAATCTTCCAATGGTATTTTTAAACCTGGTGTGAATGAATCAAAAGGCTCCTTGAAGGGAAAAAACTCAAAAAAATTTAAAATAATGGTATGATAAAGCATGGTGTTCCCCAATTTATAAACATTTTGAACTGGTTTTTCAGGGACACAGTTCTCTCTGACAACTTACGACTGCCATCTTCGTCCCGATTGATCTTGGATAGTGCCAAGCTACCATAAGGAGGAAGACTCGTCTGAGTATTGGATCGCACCATGTTTTGTGACATACCAGGACTGGAAAAGGCACTAGGGCTACCATAAGCAGTCATGGGATACGTGAAGCGTGAGGACGAACTATTGCTAGGTGTAGGTGAGGAAGGAGGCTGAGGACTGGGAATTTGTGAAAATGAGGCTTCATGATCAGACATATATTGCTGTGCACTGGCATACGCCGAATCTGAGTGAGTAGATTTGACGCTATTGGACCGTGATAGTCCCATACCATTTCCAGGCAAACTGTCTCTGGATAGGATTCGTGCACTAGCGCCACTTAAAGCACGAGCTTGCTGAATCTGTGCTTGGATACTAGAAGCATGCGATGATATGGAATCCATACTCTCAGTTTCAGACAGATGGGATGGAACATGCCCCATAGCCGTGTTAACATTCCCATTAGCACTTTTCAACCATATACCATGATTTGAGTTTCTAGGACTACCATATTCCATAGCAACATAATTCCCGCTACCATTGGTCAAATTTTTACCGTATGTAGCATGAGGATTAGATATAATAGTACTAGAACACATATTTCCATTTTCACCTTGTGGGGGCCCTTTCACTATTCCGTTCCCGTATCCCTTTTTAGTTCTTCCAAGTGTATTAGATTTATATATTTCACTATCAGTCTGTGCTGAATTTGAGGATTTTAAACTTGACATGCTGCCTTTCTTTCGCCTCTCTAAAGTTGATGCTCCATATCCATCGGGTCCCATATCTGTTTTCACTGGTGTGGTACAACGCAGAGCCTGAGCACTCCCCGGTCGTGGTATGCCATGTGCATTTTCATTCCGGTTACCATTGGAATCTATTGCATGTCTAGCCAGTCTACCTCCAACAGTTGAACTCTTAATGACCTCTTCACCTTTGCCACTTCCTGCTGATGACGTACTCGTATTACTTGTTGGTCTTCGGTAACCATATATGCCCTGACCTATTGACCCACCAGAACCGGGACGTCCCTGTTGCATTCTTCTCATACTTGATTCTAGCAGATGAGATTGGTCTGTGTTTGTTTCAGAATCCCGTTTATTTGATGTTTCACTATTTGCGTAATCATCACTATGTCTGCGGTAATGATGTATTTCTGGCTGACTAACGTTAGACAATTTTCTCAGTTGATTTGCTTGATTAGTCCGCCACGAGTGTAACTGTTCATAATTATTATAAAGATATGCATAATCAGCAGGATCGCTGCTTAGCAGTCTATTAGTTTGAGGTAGTGAGTATTTGCGCCAACCAGAAATTGGACCACTTTCACCACCGTAGTCAGAACCCATAAAAGCACTGGTTCCGAGATTCGGTGCCCTTTTGACGGGAAACTGTCCTTGTTGACGTACATCTTTCTGAGGAGCTCGTTTCAGACTATGATAAGGATTGGTATCACTTTGTGATGATCCTCCCGTTAAATTTCCATCATCTGTACTAATCTCGTTGACAGCATCACTGATCTCACCGCTACTGATGGAACTGCTGTCATCAAAACTGAAAATTACAAATAATATCTCATTTAAATAAAATTCTATAATGCTTGAACTTATAATTGAAAAGAAATTATCACTATTTTCGAAGTTATCATACTTCATCATTCAATTTAATGATAATGCTTTTTTGTTGTTCACTAGAATACATCAAGTTATCACACAGTTGTAAATAAAGCTAAATTCAGTGTGCATGTTAAATTCATTGTTCCTAAAAACTTTGGTTCACAAAAGGGTAAATCTCGGCTTTAAGTGGAGATGTCACAGGGACAGCAGAAAAGATCAAGATCAAACACTAGAAGGGACAATTTTGTGAGAGTCTGAATGGGGAAGGGCATCATTTTTATATTCTTTAATTTTGTAGGCCATTTATCTCTATTCTTTGGGGTTTTTTGCTCACAAGTCTCTATTCTAAAAAAATTTAAAATCCCATATTTTTTTCTTTGTTTTTTGTCTTCTATTGCTTATACTGTAAACCCTATCCAGACCCTCATGTCTTCTATTGTTTATTCTGTAAACCCTATCTAAACCCTCGTGTCTTCTATTGTTTATTCTGTACACCCTATCCAGACCCTCATGTCTTCTATTGTTTATTCTGTAAACCCTACCTAGACCCTCATGTCTTCTATTGTTTATTTTGTACCCCCTATTCAGACCCTCATGTCTTCTATTGTTTATTCTGTACACCCTATTCAGACCCTCATGTCTTCCATTGTTTATTCTGTACACCCTATTCAGACCCTCATGTCTTCTATTGTTTATTCTGTACACCCTATCCAAAACCTCATACATCCCTTGTTTTCCATTTTGTCCATAAATCAAGATGTCCTTATATGTAAATAACAACCAGCCTTTAATATTTTATCAAAATAAAAACTTTTCTTTTAACTGTAAATGATGTTTTACTTTACATGAAAATAAAGTCAAAAAGGTCAAAAACTCAATTATAAACAGCAGATTGTTCATATTTATTGCACACCCTGGATTTTCTCACTTTGTTTGGAAATGATTATATAAATCAGCCATTATACACTCAAGTTTCATCAAGGCTATTAATCTTATTGTTGAAAAGGAAACCAAAATATCAGTAAGATCATATTCTCAAACAAAATTAATTAATATTACATAACCACAGAACAAACAAAGGGAAGTAACTCTAACAGTCTTCATCATTTATTCACACAATAGGACATCATATCAAAAGACAAGATCATTTACTGCTTATATGATGGAAAACGTTTTGATGTTACAGTTGCTTAGCAACATATTAAAATATCTGCAAAAGATCTATCAGTTTTCCTGTATATTAGCACAAGAATCCAGAAAACTTCCCTCCAAGGATTCAAGACACTGTCTGATATCACTAAGATTTCATTAATCATATTTATGTAAATAACTAATATGACTTCAATTGTATGATCACAACAAAAACTAATCCTTTGATTACCCATTTTTTGCAAGTTTTCAATTTACCGCATGCAAGTTTTTACGAGAGCTGCCTAAAAACTAATAGTTTTTGCAATCAACATTAATTAATAAGATGGTACTTCTTAAACTTAAATAATTTTAATTTCAACCACTTCTGTGTTGATATATACTGATACTTACAACAACAATTGATTAACACATTAATGGTTTCTACTGTAAATCTTTAGTAAATGGAGGTAATTTTTCATGACTTGTTGATATATATTTTATACATTTTCTGGGATTTCCAACTTAACTGTGTTTATTTAGAAGAAAATAAATTTAAATTCTTATTGATTGCTAACTTGCTTGCTTCATATATGTCCAGTGGCAAATCTTTCATGTATTTTCAGGATGAAAGAATCAGAAACTCAAACTGATCTTGTGTAACCCAGTCCTTGTTTTGATATTTACTATTTAATTTTAAATCACAAAATAATCATTTTCTTTCTTTTATCAATACTAAAATTTATAATTTTGGAAGAATTCAGTTTTCGTTTCTTATAAGTTTCTGAAAACGTAAATTATTCAAAGTAAAAAGCAAAAAAAAAAAAAAAAAAGAAATTACCTCAACTTTTTACGAGCTGCAGGCTTCACAATGAACTTCATGTTGTTTTCCAAGCAGCTGCTAACCTCACACACAAAACTTATTAATTTGACAATGAACTAATATTAATGTGTTCATAATATACAAAAAGTTAATTTCCTTTTGTAGTCATTTGTTTAAATATTATAATTCATCATTAAAACATTCGTCTATTTACACTTCTTTGAAAAACAACTGCTCCTAGGCAAATTCTTAGAAAAACAACTGCTCCCAGGCAAAATCCTGTATGTTTGTAACTGAAAACATGACCTAGCTCTTGTTTCAGGAATGGAAACATAAGAACTGTATCCCCAGGGAAAGGATGGTTTCTGATTTAAAATGAGATTTTTACTTTTTGATGTTGTAACAAGGTTAACATGATGAATTACTTCTTCAACAGTATACTCTTTCTAGACAATTGGCATTACTTAAAAAAATGTTTGGTATTTTCAAAATTCCCTTCAGTGTTCACTTTGTATGTGGCAGAATGAAAAAGAATAAATTATAAGGGTGTAAGATACATTTTTTCCCTAGAGGGATTGTGCATATTTGGGCCCCCATTCTTTATTTTAGATATTTATCCGTTTCAATTTAGAAATTTTCAAATTGATAAAACTCTTTATCAGCCTCCATCCCTTAAAATATGCTTCCTTTAAATAGTTTCTAGCAGGGATAGATAGAGGTTTAAGGGCATACGATACAGTTTTGATCCCACGGTGAATGTGCATACAAGCTTTTTTTAACCTAGTCAATTCAAATATGTAATAAAAAACATACCTTCATGTACTACTTTTAGAGATAAATGGGGGCGAAATTTTAGACATTTACTCAATTTCGGTTTCTTGAACATTTTTATCCTTAAATGAACAGATCAAAATTAAAATTTTATATGCCAGGCATTTCTTCTACAGAAGACTCAGCAGTGACGCTCAAATCAAAAATGCTAAAAGGCCAAATAAAGTCGAATTTGAAAAGCATTGAGGACCCAAATTTCAAAATTTAAAAAAAAATTTTTGACCAGGTATGCAGGGATTGAATCAAATACCTGTTCAAATTTAGGCCAGATGTTGGAATTGGGTTCTTCCTTATTTAGGAACTAATATTTTTCTTTAAGAAATTTCAGGCAATTTATATAATACTTTTCTTTTTTCAAATTTCCGTCATTTGTATGTTTTGGAGCATGACATCTATTTCGCTGAACTAGTATACATTATTGTGTAATGACCAGCTGAAGCCCACCTCAAACAAGTTAACACTGATATAAGAAATAGACATCCTTAATCAAATTAGTTTATCACAGGTAGACACATTTAAGGTGTACTCTATAAAGCCATTAATTAGGTTGAGGTGCGTTTGATTATTGAGAAATGTCAAAAGCTTATCAAACAAATGATAAGTCAGATTTATTGTGTAGAAAATTGAATGTTAAGTGAAAGAACTGGTAAATGAGGTAGAAAACATCAAAGAAAATGATGGCATCTTCTGTCAGCTGGTATCTTACAGTCAATGATAAACTATCAGTATTCAGCTGCAGGGTTTTTCTTTACTTTTTAGGTTTTGCCATAAGACTTTCAAAATCGGTGATGTTCAATTACAAATCTTTATGCATAATACCATCAAATATAGATTTACTAAAATTAAACGATTTTAAAATAGAGCTCACTTAAACGGAGGGAAAGTAATTGTAAATTTGATTGTGTCGAGTTTTGCAATGGCAATTTTACTTAACTATTCACAAGAAAATAATCTGTATAATAAGTAAACCTTTCTTAGAAGTAATAAAAAGTAAGAGAAAAAAAAACCCAAGAAGAAAATGAAAAACTATACAATGCTGTCATAGAACTACACATACTGTTAAATTTATGCAATTAAAAGTTTTTATTATTGCATAAATTGCAATTGTATATTTTTCATAAATAACGTCATATTTTAAATTCTGTTAGCATTATTTTTATGCAGCATTTTTGTTCATTGTTCAACAAATCTTATAATAAATGCATGCAAAAATTTCTGAGTTTACACCAAGATGTCTTTAAATGAAATTGTATAATAAACTTTCAATAACATATGGTAAAGACTCCCTCCTAAATTATTGCAAACTATCATTCTGCATTAACAATAAAAATAATAAAATATTGTGTAAATAAGATACACCCATTCCGGCTAACACAGACTCAATGTGTATCTTATACATAAAGTATGCTCTCCTTACAGCTTTCTTTTCATCCAATTTATGAGTTATGATTCACAAATATATTTGATTTATGAATTTTGATAAAATATAATTAATTCATTTTCAAAATTGTAAACTTTCCCAACAAATTAAGATCAGTTAAGATTAACACCTGCAGAATTTTGATGCAACCATAAAAGCACAATGCAAAATCATTAATTTTTTTGAAGGAAAAATTGTAAATCTGTATGTTATTAAGGCCCATAACTTACCAAATTAGTAAATAATCCAAGTTTTAAAATCTAATTTTGTTCAGCCTGTCAATCATAAATACAAAACTTCGGAAATAAAATTTTCTTTGTAAATTTCTTGGAACAAAGAAAGATTTTTTAAGACCCCTAGACTTAATCACTCTTTACTCAGGGGGCATTGTATTATATAACAATTAATGCTAGTTAACAGATGCCCCATTGTAACTTTAAAATCAATCCTGTCATTATTATGTAACACAAAAACATCTTCTGCTAATCCAAGATGTCTTCCAAATCCATCTGCTAGGATCACAGCTTCCCAAAGGTAACATATTTGTTCTGCAGTCTGAATGCACAGGAAATAAACTTGTCAAAAAATACAGATATAATGCAAAGAAAATTAGGAGGTCTAAATCAAGATGACATTGTCTGAAATTTACTTGCTTTTAATAGGGTAAGTCAAAACCGTTTATTTTTTGTCTGAGCCTCGATTCCTAATGCAGGAACTTTTTCTTTGCAGTCTCATT